TAAACACAGTAGAAGTACTTTAGATGCAGCTGCAGTCTTTTACCATAACATTGTCTCCAGCCTAGACAAGGGGGCTAAATTTGTTCGCTACACCTTCCTAGATCACACATCTGCTTTCGACTCAGTACCTAGGGACATTTTGTTAAACAAGCTTGCTGAAACACAAACTGACTGTTGGGTTGTCAAATGGCTGAATTCTTATTTCTCAGGAAGAAAGCAGTACACTGAATGTCAGGGAAAGTCGTCCACTTCTTTGCTTACTGAGGCTGGTGTCCCTCAAGGCGCTGTCATTTCCCCTTTTCTGTTTTATTTCTTCTTGCATAATTTGCCTCATTCTGATGAAATGAACTTTTTTAAATGTCTGGACGATCTAACTATTTCAATGTCTGTTAACTCCCAGCTTGACTGTGCTAACATGAACAGCTTTCTATCAGGAATTAGCAAATGGTCTTCGTCTTACAGCCTTAAACTAAATCCTTCCAAATGTCAGACTGTTAATTTCAGTTTCCGATGCAAACAAAAGTTAAATGAAGCCGCTGGTTCCTATGACCCTTGCAAAATTAATGATACTGATATAGAAATCAAGTTTGAAGTTAAGTATCTTGGATTTATTCTTTCTTCTGACCTATCGTGGTCTTCCCATGTCTTAGCGATTTCTAAAAGAATATTTCGTCTGACGTTTTACATTTAGAAGTTGAGGCACTCAGGCATGACCCAACCACTCCTCTTACAGTTTGTCAACTCGCGTATTTTATCTATTCTTCTTTACTGTTCACCCTTATTCTTTCCTGGATTGCTTAAAAAGACTATGTTACTTTATTTTTATTTTTGATTTACAGCTTGATTCCACACTGTATTTTCGGTACAAGTATGGAATTTTCAGCATGGATATCGGTAGCCCAAATTTTGCAGGCCGACCTTAGATATCAGGTGTGCGTCGGTGCGGGCTCGAACCCCGGACCATGTACATGGTCGGCGAGAGTCCTAACCGCTGTGCCACCGACGCACTTCATAGAACTCTGAAGACTGTCAGTAGGATGAGTGGTACCCCACTGGGCCATATCGTTGACATTGTCACTGATAGGCACTTGATGTCATGTAACAAATTTGCTAAAGGAATTTTGTCAGACTATGAGAGCCCACTCTACCCGCAGCTCCAACCTTGTGTCTCCTCAGGAAAAACAAGAAGTCTTTGCAGAAGAATTTATGCACGTACGTCTAAGAATAAAAATTCCATTATACCATATTTAGCACGTACTTCATGCGATGAAAATAGTGTCAGGCATGAACTAACTAACCTTCTTTGCACTACCAAATAAACTATTTCTTCCACTCTTACAGAACCATACTTTATTGTTATTGTATTTCTTATATTTATAATACTCTCAAATTTTTTCTTTTTATTTATTTATTTCTCATAAGTGTGAACATCGTTTAAGCTGTGTTACAACTGTTAATCTTGTATTTCCCCTCACTATACTATATCAATAGAACATTAGATTCAATAATCTATAATAACAAGCTAAAATTTCCAAACTGAATCGACAATACTGTTTGAAACAAACTCACTGTTATTATCATATGTAATATTCTCAATTCGTGCTTCGAATATTTTTGACTTTATATCGTAAACATGAACAAATTCCTCTGGTTAATTTTGTTTTAATTTTTAATTTTATTTATATTTTGAGTAAATCAGATGCAATATTGTGACAAATGCTGAGAATTCCATTCTGTATTATAAGTACTGTTTTTGGAATAAAGTAAATTATTATTATTATTATTATTATGGATTGCATTGCACGTGATGTCGTTTGACGGCTTCCTCAGTATATGCTTGATCCATCTCCATTTTCTCCCACATATTTCTTGGTCGGTTGGCTGGCTCCCAGCCAACCAGAGTTTCTTGTTGCTAGTTCTTTCTGGCCGACTGGCCATTCGATCTTCAGTATGGAGCTAGCCATAGAAGATGGCATCTGTTGATAAAAGTCTTCAGTGGACTGTTGAAAATTCTTTCCATGACACGCTGGCCAAGTTTCTGACCCTTTATAAAGGAACTGACTGACTTCCAATTTGTGTTGAAAATCCAAATCTTCTTCTTCACGCTGGCTGGCTAAGTGAAGCAGAAGATTTCGAAAATGGTTTTAGTTTCATGAAGGTACATCTTGTCTTTTCGATTCTGACTGTAACATCTTCATCCGTTCCGCGTGTAGCTGAAACAACGCTTATTGCCTAAATAAGTGAAGGAAGTAACCCCTATCAAATTTCTCCCTTTGATGGTGATTGGTGTTGGTTGTTGTCGGCTGTTTATTTTCACCACCTCCCTCTTCTCCATGTTCACCTGGACTCTTGCCTTCGCTGCCGCCTTCTTAAGCCGGTTTGTTGGTTTTCGCCTACAACTCCTTGAGTTTATGTGGTATTAAAAAGAAATCATCCACGCGAGAAATCCAAATCTTCCATAATCTTCTTACCAGCCCACTATTATATTCATTGTTTGACACATTGTACCATTGAAACAAACACTCGACCCAAGAAACATTAAGTAACAACTTTCAGTTCTGCTTGGCAATCACTAGCACTACTTATAATTTGGCGTCTAAATTTAGCATGAATTCGATAGGTGTAATCTATAAGCAAGCTGAGAATTACAAAGTGAATAAATTCCATTGAATCTCCAAGAGAGCAAACAATATGACCATTATTGGTATTTTGTGAAAATATCTTTGTATAAACAGAATAAATGATCACTAGAACTAGTTGTATTCTTAAAAAAAAATTACAATAGATTTGAAATATGTAGGCGTTTGAAAAACAAGTTTCGTCAATATGACAATATCAGGTGACTATGGTTAAAAGCGGTATTCAGACTTGGATATCGGCCCTTCAAGGTCATAATAATACGTCTACAAAAGATTTGATTTCAACTGCTCACATTGATAATTCAGAAAAATAAGTGACATTCTGAAGAGGCTGACTGATGAGTTGATATAATGTAATTGTATGATATCCAAGAAACTGTGTGTGTTAACAAATGATGTTTAAAAGAGAAAAATATGTTTCAGAAGCTTTTGACAGAAAAATACGATGTACTTCTTTTTCTTTATACTTTCTGTAGTCCTTCATAAATATTGATGAATCTTCCTATAGATCACTTTACGAATGTGTGTAGAGCAGCGGTAATAAATGTGATTGCTAATTATGAAATCATTCATCCTATGAATTTTGTAAAACTTTACACTTCAAAAATAAATACGGATACTACTTCATCTGAGAGTTGCTTTTATGAACTAATCATAAAATATGTGTATTTGAGGAATACAAAGAAAGCCACTTTCAAGACGATAACTAGACTACCTAATGTATCTGTTCAACAATGAAGTTTTGATGAATGTTTCATTGCTTAGTAATGACGACAATGGCGCAAATAGACAGAAGTTAGAACTAATAGGTCATTGAATTTTGACTCAAGTGACTTGATCATCAACAATTTCGGCCTATGTGACCTTAACGTCCTGGCCTAAATCGCAATGGCGTATCTGGAATGGAAACTGCCAAAGAGTCGCAAACCAGAACGAAACCACTGTAAATTGCACCTTGTTTTTAGTGATTCCTCATACATTTTCCCCTTTATGAATTTGAATATAGCAAGAACAACAGTGGTTTGTCCAGAACAAAAATGTAGCATCATTTATTTCGTTGGCTTCTCATCAGCTGCTTACAGCCTAAATAAATTATTAAGTTTATTTAGAGAAAAGTGTTAACATACTTGCAAATTTTACCTAATGTCAGTTGGCAGGGGGTTCTGGGATTAGTGAACAGTGCTCAGAAAATTACACTTATATATATATATATATATATATATTACACTTATATATATATATATATATATATAGTTTTTACACAGGTAGTTCAAGTTTAAACAAAGTAAATGTGTGCTTACAATGATAAACGAGTTACGAAATGGTGACTAGAGATACGTTAGATGAAGAGTGACTAATAAATTGGGTAAAAATCTACTGAGTTTAACTCAGATCATAGGTACAAGAAACAAGCGAAATCAAATGGGATGAGGTTAAAGCCAAAAATTACGTAATCAGATGAAAGAGAGAATAAATATAGACAGTTAACAGGGCAAGGGAAGACTGATGACTGTTTCTTTCTGAACACATAAGTCAGGTTTCAGGCATTTGATGGAAATTGCCTCGCCTTCTGTATCTTATGTCAGTTAGTGAAGAAGTTTACATTGAAATGAAACGAAATTCATACAAACCCAAGAAATTTGAATAGTAATAATGACCATAACAAAAACAATCCATTTGAATTGATCAAGTGTTGGTTTTGTAGGGATTCGATTGATTGCAAGTTTGGTTATGAGCTCACATCAGTTACAGAACCACTGGGAAGTCAGAGAGTATTGGACAACTGTTTCGTTCTAATTTCGGGCTCTTCATAAGTAAGCACCCACCGGGGTTCTAACCCAGAACCTCCCGATTAAAAGGTGAGGTCTTAAATCAATCAGCCACTGGGACCCACTTAGTTGACCGATGAATTCCAAATGCTCAACATATACCTCATATAATGCCTGTTGAAGTATCCTAAACTAGAACGAAACAACTGTCCAGTACACCCTGGTTTTCCAGTAGTTCTCTAACTGATGTAAACATGTAATCGAACCTGTCATCAATACCTAAACTGAATAACTGCATAGTATTTACCACGTATAAAAGAATGGAAGACAACTCACTTTTCTACAATTTTGGTATATTTCAAGTGACAAATGAATACTTTTGTAAAACACTCCTAATTGTGGTTGTCTAATTATAATTATTATTTATAATTCGGTATTGTTAAGACATGGGAATCAAATTTTTTTTTAAAAAAACAGCTTACATTGCATTAGCTCTCAGTGAACGATTTCTAGGATGTCCATTTATTAAATTTTTTTGAAAAACAGAAATAATAAAAAAAACTTTATTCTTTCTGAATCTTTTCCTTTTCAGATAGAAATATATACATATCCCAATTTTCTAAATCAAAACGTGAACAAGTGAACTATGAAACTGCACAATGGTGTTTCATCCTTCTGGATTATTCAACACGTGCATATGAGAAGTGTTCTGTTCACTTTGTTTACTATTAGCCAAGTATATGCAAAATTCGGTAATTCTTTTATAATTAAAAGTTTTTCACTAGTTTATAATGGCACAGCAGTAGAATGCTAGCCAACCACGTAAGTGGTCCAGAATTCGATCCCCGACAGATACATTGCTTTACCTCACTAAGCCAGTAATAAGACTGGTAAAGGGGAAAGGTTGGGTATGAGGCTAGCAACCCTATCCCATAAAAAATGAATATCGCTGCTACCGAGACTTCAAAACTCTAGTTTGAAGCCCTATGTTCCATTGGGAATGTAAAGGAATAAAAAAGAATGTACTTAACTGAATAAATGTGAAAGCAAACACCTACTTTTTACCCTTAACTATTACAATTTTCAATTAGAGTCAAGAGGTCATTAAGCCTTGTTTTACCTGACACTTATAGATGTATGAGCAAGAAATTTGAATTCTACGAGAATCTTTATACACACTGTCTGAGGTCTACATAATCGTATGAATTTCTTAATTGACATATGCATAAGGATGTCTCGTTTTCATAACTCCATGGTATTTTCGCCGATGATATATATCTGATTTCCCACAAACTGGAAGATATGCAAGTGAAAAGCAACAAGTCGGCAGAAGAAGCATCAAAGATAGAAAGGAGTTCAGGTAAACATAGATAAAACAGAAGTGATGAAGATTCCTGGCCAACACCAACAGCAACAATAGACAGCAATCAGCATTATTGGCAGGAACCTGAAAGAAACAAGTGCCTTTAACTACCTACCTACCTGGGAAGCTTCGTTTCGACTACAGGCCAACGGAACTGACGAGGATATCAAAGCGAGAATCGGAAAATCAAGACAAGCTTTCATTACTCACGTCAAGTCTGTGTGGAGGTCAACAGAACTCACCATCAAAAATAAGATCTGGATTTTCAACTCCAATGTGAAGTCAGTCAGTGCTACTAAACGGATGGATCAGAGACTTGCACTGCGCTTCATAAAGAGTATCTCAAACAAACTTCAGACCTTCATTAACAGTTGTCTTCGCTCAACACTACTAAAGATCAGATGGCCGGCCGGCCAGAAAAGATCAGAAACAGGGATCTCTGGCAGTCAGCGAACCAACCCTGCAGGAACCGATTGTGAAACAAATAGGCAGGAAGAAATGGAGATGGATTGGCTGGCGATACTCTGAGGAATCCATCAAGTGACATCACTAGACAAGCCATCGCTTGAGTGGAACCCGAAAGGGAAGCGGGCGGCGAGTTGGTCGTCAGTGTGAGGGTGACTTGGAGTAGGTCATGTGAAGAGGAGATGAAAGCATGTGGGCAGACTCGAAGCGGTGTGAAAAAGTTGGCAGAAAACCGAAGGCAATGGAGATGCGCAGCTGAAGCCCTATGTTCCTCTAGGGATTAAAGGATATAATAACAATTTTCAGTATGGATTTCTCCATGAACCAATATCAGTTAATGAATTATTGAAAAGAACAAAATAGTCCTTTCTAACTACTTTGTTCTGAATAAATTATGGGAATATTCAATTGGTGAAAACTAGGAAGTACTGGGCTTTTATTTCGCCCAAGGTTTTAACTCTTCATCAGTGCTTACTCACAATCCTTTCAGAGATTGAAATTAGGATTTTTAAGTTACGAGGAAAAGCTGATTGGCAGTTCAGCCATGTTGGCCAGAATTCCATCACTCACGAACACTAACTTTTTCATTTCATCCAGTGCCCCAAGGCTTTCAATGATTCTTACATTCCGGTGATTGCGCTCGTCATCGATACTGTTATATGGATATTCCGTATTACTTCCCGTTAAATATGTGTATTCAGAATAAACTGTACTACTTGGTTTTAATACTGATACTCTGAATGACGGATGTTAAACAGACAAAAAGAACAAGGAGTTGTCAGTCAGTCCGGAAATAAACTAATTTCTGTCAATGGAGGTGAACATTGTACGTTTGTCTTTGGAATTAGTAGTCATTGTTGGGAAACTCAAAGGCGCGAATGGTCCGATCGTGTGTTCAAGTTCGACGAGGACGACCAAAAACGAATAAAAACTTTTACTGTTCTCCGCTTTAATTGCCAGACAATATAACTTCCTTCTGACAATACTGGTGTTTTGGATTTAAAGTCGAAGAAAGTACACAGTATTTATCGGTGCGGAGCGTCTTTGTAACAATAGGAACTTAGGGATAAGTTCCTTGACAATTCCCTTGTACTAAGTACAACATATTTCTTGCCAGCTGTACGACTGAATAAATCTCAAACTATTTATTGTATTCCTTCCATTGTTTGTATACTGCTGTAAACCACCTAAGTGTTAAGTAGGATCTATTTCATCAAAATTAAATATAATTTGACTAAAAGCTAAAAGGATCTTCACAACTTTCGAAGTCTTCAGTGAAGAAATATGATGCATCTTCATCGTTTCTTTGATACAAGGATGCTATGTAACTTTTTTAATTACTATATAGTGATGAGTAGTACATAGATGCCACGTTGAGTAAATATCAGAGATTATATCTGAAGTGAGATCATTACAGTGACTGGCTAAATAAACATGATGATCGTTGGCCTATTCTCCTAATCACTAGAGATTTAGAAACGTCGGCAGCTGGATTTTGAACCGATACAACAAACATGAATTCAAAATAATAATGTAGGAAATGGTGGTGAACAATGTTGTCGATAATACAGGGAAAGTATTTGTGCTCTGAACTCAACATCATACTTAATTTTAACTTAAAAAGTGGGCGAATTTTACTAATACTTAAATTCCAAATTATCTACTAAATTTTCACACTGCGATTTTCTGATAATTCTGTTTATAACTTGATCAAAAACAGCATGACTTTATGAAGGCATACAAACCAGCCGAAATAGATTAAATATAATAGACTGAAGAGGCGTTATGCTGCTGAAACCCTATGTTCCTCTGTGAACCCAAGGAAATAATAATCATAATAATACAAGCCATTATGGATGAACTGACAGTTAAATAAAATAAAATATATCTCAGTAATTTATTCAATCGTCAGTTACACTGCTAACTACCGCACAACTCTATAAATTTGGACAGAACTGTAAGCAGTGTTCAGTATGCCATTATTATAGGCAATTAACATCTCGACTTATACACAACACCTAGTTATACTAAGCTATCAGAAGTATATAAAGTTTCAAGAAAACATTTTCCCATTGCATTCGAATCGGAGTAATTTAAATTTGTAATCACAAGTGACATCTTCCTTGGTACTGAGAAACTATGCATACACAGAGTCGTGGATAGTATTCTCCTCTGAAAATCTGTTCCCCTAAAGTTTGCAAATATATAATGTAGGATGATAAATAATTCTACTATTTATTTTAAATATTTGCTTTACAGAAACTGGGCATCCTTTACCATTCTTCCAAAGAAATAGAAATGAAAAATGTGTTATTTACGAAGAGCCGAAGAGTTGTGAAAAAGTGGCTAACACAAACAATCCATGTGAGTTAAATACTTTGTAACAACACAATTTAAGCAAATATGTGTTTCTGGTAAATTCTTATTAGGCTTTAAATTTACGTGATGAAATATAAGTCATGAAACATTTGAATTAATCTGGTCAGTATAATAATGGATTAGAGTTCAGGGATATGAATTGATGGATAACTATCGAGGTGATCATAACAATAATATCAATCTGTGGTCGCGCTCGGAAAACAAATTAAATCCTTACAAGTCAACCCTTGAAAATTAATCTGATGCTCACTAATGACGTGTTACAGGGCAAAGTTTCCTGGAGTTCTGGTGAGATGTTGTGACCAGTGATATCTATCGAATCAGGAGTGAGGATGGATTTCCCGCCGATGATATTGGCTGGTGGTCATGCTAAATGCTAAATTCATGGGCCACTTAGTCGGGTCTCAGTGGCTGAGCTTGCCTTGTAACCGGAAGGTTCTGATTTCGAACCCCTGTGGTGGGTGCGTACTGCCAATGATTCTCAAAACTAGGATGAAACATCAGCTGTCCAGTACTCCCTGGTTTCCAATGGTTCTCTAACTGATATCAATCCGTGATCAAACTCGGAAAACAAATCAACTCTTGAAAAATAATAACCAGGAAAATTCATTCAAGTGTTTACATAATCTAGGCAGTCATGAGTGTATAGGTAGAATGTGTATACTGGTAGAGGTAAAGTAGTAAATAACTACTGTCGCATAGCGATTAGATAATATAGTAATATTAAATTGTGAAACAGAGATTAAAGTGTACAGCTACAGAACAGTATGATATCGGTAATACAGTTAGTATTACAAATAAAATAAAAACAGCAAGATAGTATTTACAGTTAGCAGGTGTCACCGGGTAGATAACTATTTTTAGGTTTGGACCTAAGGCGAAGGGAAGAAGGTAGACTGAACAAACTTTTTCTGAACACAGAGACTGGGCTGAAAAATCTTTTAAAATTCGACTAGAAAACTTCTTTCTCTCACTGCTATCTGTTTCATATTCATTAGGTGTAAAAATGTAGTCAGTGTAGTTCTCGTGTGACCACTTTAGTATTACAAATAATAACAGCTTAAATGTGTTTCATTCCTTTCCTTGCATAAATCAAAGAGTCGAAATTTATTTTAGTAGGGAGGTAACTTTATTATTTCCCCCAGAACAGATCAACCTTAGATTTGTTTTCCGTTCGGTCTGATAAGGAATAATCTGTTGAGAGATGGCATTTTAAGACTGTCAAACTAGAAGTTGATTCTTGTGAGAAATCATAAGACAATGTTCATTATTTAACCGTAATATTTCTCCCCAGACTCACTGATTATCTTTGAGCTATTAAGGGTAAAATATTCCATCGTAATACAACTGGAACGGGTATCCGTTTTCTTAAAGTTATCTTTAGAAGTGTTTATGTTTGACTGCCTCTACTCTCTTATGGAAAAGTTTCATGTGGAATTTATTGTTTTAAAATAGTTAGATGACTACTAAATCCACAAAGCTCTGCTACAAAATTATAAAAAAGTAACCTTATTGTTCTTCTGTGAATAACCTAGTCTATCAGGCTTCCTTATTTGTAAGACAGTGTGTTGTTGTGGCTTAAGATACCGATTAAAGCATATTTTAGCAGTGTGTTTCGTAAACATGATGGCTAGAAAATATTCCAAGTTATCTGTTTGGTTATGGCCGACATGTTTCATTCTATGTTAGGCTCTTCCTCTGAGCGTATATACTCCAGAGTGTGATGCTGTTCCTGTCGAAACTCAAAAACAGAGTACTCATAGCTTTAAATGCTTATGTATTATCCGTGTAACCTACTAGGCTTAGCGAAAGCTAGTTGACATACTAACACTTAACGGGAAGCAAGTATCATCTAAATGAAAAATTCCAAATATGCTAAAACTTTCATCCTGGATTTTACGCCTAGCCAACATCAGATAGGCAACTTAGAGTTCTTAATCCTGATAATATCGAGGCATTCATCAAGATAAAGCTGATAATTGGGGTGAGAAATAGATAACTAGAAAATATTATTCTGAAACTAATTAATAAGCAGTGTTTCTTTGAATATTATCAACTTTCTTAAACTATAGTAATAGTAATAATAATATCAACATCCCATTGGTTTTTTATCTCCTATTTCATTTTAGTGTATACGCATTTTGGTATATTCACTGAAATATTAGACGATCAAATGAAACCTATCAGTGTTCAAGACTTCGAAATGGTTCCAATTAATGAAAGATTTGAGTATTTTACACGGAGAAGTTGTGACTTTGTAAGTAATAGACCTGGTACACATTAACCCAAAATAATACTACAGTCACTATCTAGTTGTGAATACGTATAATAGTTATAAACTACTTATCCCTTTCTAGCCAGAAAAATGTAGACATTTGCATATAAGATGAAAAGAATTAGTGGAATATTCCCATCTTGAGAATTACTATCCGAATGTATTGAGATTATAGATAAAAAAGGAAAGTATAACACCATGATATTTCTACATTCTTATTCTCACACAAGTATTTTGACGGGAAAATCTACAGAAAAAATACGCATAAGGCATAATCTGTCCTACCAGGCGCTAGAATCATCTAACTTCTAGCCTTCCAGTGTTTACCAGTAGGATTATGGATTACAAAGTCATATTTTTAAGTCTTTTATTGTACATGAATTCCACACAGGAATTACATTTCATGTTTCCCTCCTCACCTAAGGGTATATTTGCAAAATACTAAACGCCGCCAATTTTGTTTTCATTTTCCATCAACACTCTTCTGATTCAAATAGTAGATTATTTAGTCTACTTCTAATACTTTTAAAGCTTATTTCGTCAATAATTAGTAAGAATTAGGCCACCAAATTCCTCACTTCTTCATTAGGCCAACTGATTACTTGCATGCTGACTATTACAGAAAACGAGGCATATTTTCAATTTCATTTGGAATTTAAAAAAATCGGTTTATCCGATAGAATGTCTAACAATAACCTTCTGAGTGAATACAAAAGTGTCTTCCACTTGTCGTGCTACTGAAGACAGAAGTAGGCGAAGTCCAAGGATGGGTACTCTCGTACTATATTAACTAACCTTGATCATAACAGAAAAAAGTACAGCTGACTGAAAAACTAAACTAATGCCAAATAATTCAAATGAACTGTCGTCGAAATTTGACTGAATAGTTGCGAAATAATTGAGTGCCGAGTGAGAAGTAGACATTTGTAAAAAATTATATTTGTAAAATCTTGACAAAATTGAAATGAGTAATTTCAAACGTTTCGTTCGGCAATCTGGTGCTAACTTCGTTAGGGAAATTAATCGAAATTAACATAACAGAGGTTTATATATAAAAGAACATCTCCTCTTTTTAAATTCGTTGTCCAGCCATATGAATCTTGAAACAGGTATCAACATGTATAATAAACAAAAATTGTATGAGTTGTGATCAAAATTTGACCTCAGACTTTCAAAATTAGTCTACTTTTGAATTGAATTTTTGATTTTCCCGTCGATTGATTGGACCGAAGTGCTCGGTCTCAGGTTGACATGTCGACTTCTTGTGCAGATGCTTCGACGATGTCTGGGTATTTAATTAGTATACAATTGGTGGATGGTGGCTAGCAGTGGAATCCAGGATGCGCATTTCGTCCTATTTGGGACTCGTCAGCTCATCACTCACTGAGAAATGCACGTACATCCAGATGACGAGTCCCAAATAGGACGAAATGTGCATCCTGGATCCCACTGCTAGCCACCATCCACCGATTGTATATTAGTCTACTTTTGTTAAAATATATGTGTATATGCAGCATTAAATGGTGTGTGTGTGTGTACATGTGTGTGGGTGAATAGTCATAACATATTTGTTAGACTCTCCATAAGAAGACGTAGACATTCGGGAAATTTTGACCAAGTATGACTAATTTTTGATACATATCCAATTTTTCTTTATTAGTCAGGATTTGTCATGCATCAGCTAACATCACACCTTCACGACTGTCCAAACTGTTGGGATTCACGCACATGTACAGGGCTTCTACAGTTAGTCTTTCTTTATATGAACCGAAACCTTTCTGTAGAGCCTCAGTCTTACTAAAGTCGATTGTGTCCCGTTTCTATCGAATGCAGTGCAATCGCTGAGTTGTTTTGTAGCTTCTTCAAGTCGGCAAAGGTCTTTGGAACCACCTTTAGACATTGTTTATGCTCTTTCACTCTTACCTGTCTGGAAGTTTTTTTTCTACATATACACATACCACATAGTAGACAACGGGATCACCAGTATCTCCGCTAGTCGCCAATCTGTTTAAGCACTCATTAGAAACAAATATAATTATGAGATGCTCTAGTCCTCTGAAGATGTGGTTAAGATACGTGGATGATACCTTTGTCATGATCAAACGTAGATTTTTAAATGAACTTTTTCACTTAATAAACAATATGTCAGAAACTATCAAGTTTTCCAAAGAGGTTGAGTTCGAAGAGAATGAGTTGCTGTTCCTCGATTGTTTAGTAAAAAGAAAACTAGGTGAGAAATTTAAAATAAACACTTTCAGAACGCCGACAAATTCGGACAGATACCTAGACTATTTTTGATTGCACACTACTCAGTAACTAGTGCAATGTATCTAGTTCTATCTTCGGTGAAGACTGAATTCTATCAGTCAGGCTTGCAATGTGGCCACCATGCTAGGTGGCTCGCTATTACGGTGCACTGTGAAATGTTGGTATTAGATGGTTGGAGGCAATCGGCAGGATACCTAGATACCTAGACTAATATTCAGCACACCCATTTACCACTAAAGTAACTTTGGCCAAGGATCTGATTAACAGAGCCAAACGTCTAGTTACTGAGGATGAAGAGACTAGCAAGGAACTAAAATTGGTTCAGTGCACTCTTGAATCAAATAATTATCCTAAAGCCTTGATAAAAAGATATTTAAAATTTGAAGATAACGATGAATCGAAACCTGCTGCTAAGAATTGGGTTAGTACAGCGGTTCCTTTTATATATAAACCTCTGTTATGTTAATTTCGATTAATTTCCCTGAAGAAGCTAGGACCAGATTGCCGAACGAAAAGTTGGAATTACTTATTTCAATTTCGCTGAGATTTTACAAATATAATTTTTTACAAATGTTTACTTCTCACTCGGAACTATTCAGTCAAATCTTGATCACGGTTTATATATATATATATATATATATATATCCGAAATATTAGGCCTCCTTTAAGTGTTTTCAAATGATTAAAACAAAAACAAACAACGCTGAAATTCTGTGGTTCTCTTCATTAATCGTCACCACCTTCAACGTTATTGTATTTTACTGAAGGTCTGTTGTGTGCAAAGATTCATGATTAAATAAAGTAAATTATGATAACAGTGGAATGATAACCTGTTTATCAGTTGCGTCTCACAGTTCACCTAACCTAAAAAAGTATCGGACTAATTATTTATGGACTGCTCTTTGTTTCGTCTCCAATCACTACTCATCACATAATTCGTGTTCTTTGAAAAATGTCAACTCTATCTCCGTATACCAAAAAAGTGGTATTACTTAACATCTTGTTAAGGGATGCAGTCTGGAAATTCAAGACAATAAGAAGGTTTCAAACGACTGTGCGTCGGTGGCACAGTGGTTAGGACTCTCGCCGACCATGCACATGGTCCGGGGTTCGAGCCCACGCCGGCGCACACCTGATATCTATGGTCGGCCTGCAAATTTTGGGCTACCGATATCCATGCTGAAAATCCCGTACTTGTACCAAAAATACAGTGTGGAATCAAGCTGTAAATCAAAAAAAAATTTTAAAATTTTAAAAGAGTGTATAGCTTACACTACCTTATTGCTTCAAAGAATTTCCTCACTTATTCATATAACTTTACTTTATAAAAGTTTAGTTAGTTTTCCTTTTTTTCTTTGTTTTTTATCCACTTCCAACTTCCATTCCAATGAAATTTGACATAATGAACTACTGTAAATCAATTAGATCATGTCAAGAATTACAACAGAACAGACGCCGTATTATGAAAGACCTTCTTGTACTGTGGCTGATTTTATCCCATCAGATGCAAATACTGTTTTTGCTGTGCATGATATAGTTTATAATTCAATTAGAGCGACACAACTTTCTGAAAATTTATTACTGGATACATTTATACAAAATAGTAGATTTTATAATCTAAGTTTCAATTTACAAAAGTTTAACTTTAGAATTGTTTGTAAGTTGTTGTGTATTTAATATAAATTTATAAATTATACTTATTGACCGATTCAAATACCACATATGATAATGAAAGCTAGAAATTATGTTGTACTGTAACAACAGAAGACAAGGGCCGGTAACAGATCGTTTTATTACGGAAATCAACACGTATTCATATATATATTTCATGTACATTATCATAACTTATTCAAGTAGACAAACGCAGCCTTCTGATTGGTTGTTTCTCGGAAGTTAAGCAGACAACGCAGGCTTCTGATTGGTTGTTTCGGGTAACCTCGGAAAGTGGAGCCATCGATCTGCAAATCATATTTGCCCACGTTAAACCTGCTGCGATTGGTTGTTGAATCAGCCTTGTTCATATTTTCTCACGGTTAATATTAGTGACCTAGACGTTGACGTAAATTAATCTCTACCAATTGGCTAGGAGCCTGCTCTCACCACAATATAACTCTATAATGATATGATGGAGAAGATTTTTAGCTCAGGTCGATGATTTTGATGTCGTTGTATTCTCTGAATTGAATAGTTTATTTGCGAAGCTTTCAATGCCCTACTAGGCAACTTCCTCAGCGCATTCTTCAATTCAACCTCAAATAAAAGCAATGAAAGCTTCACAAATAAACCATCTAACTCAGAGAGCACAACTACATCAAAAACTCTATAATAACATTGTAGTATTAAATTTGGACTAGTTGGTCATAAATGTTCTTAAGGTTTGAATTTCAACTAAAAGTATGCATTGATTCATGAATGATTATAGTAATATGGAGTAATATGTGGATTACTTAGTATAACTTCATTGTTGAACTTAGAACCCTTTAACTTAACATTCACCCCCAAGAGAATACACAGGGTTTTAGTGAAAAATTGTTTACTGGGTTAACTTTCCTACAGGAGTGGTGAAATACATCTTTATATTTGAAACTGCAAGTAGCACAGAGTGTTCGAGTTCTGATTATATCTGTTCATTTCATGCTTCCTCTAATAATTCCCCGTTTTGTTTGTCCTTTTATCCAGAAATTTTTCACTTCTTCCCACACAGTATATTACTTACAAATCCTTGTCAGTAGCAGACGCTATATATTTACCAAGTCTAAACAGAAACTGGAGTTTTTCAACAGCAACAGTTGATTGGTGTATGCACTAGAGATACGGTTATTGGATGAAGAGTATTTATAACTAATAGTTGTCATAATATCCTGGTTCATCAGTAGAAAGTCCGCTAACCACATACACATGGTCCGGGGATCGATCCTTGGCCCACGCACTCCTAAACATTCGTAAGCCGATAGTAAGGCAGGTAAAGAGGGAAAGTTGGACTTGAGGCTGGCAACTTCATTCTGTAAAAATAAAACTCCTGCTACGGAGACTTCCAAACTCTACCTTAAACCCCCATGTTCCTCTTGGAACATAAAGGAATAAAACAGTATGCAAAAGTAAATAAGTAGTTCGCATTATGAGCCGATATTACACAGAAAGATTGGTTGGAAGATTTCCTCATGAGCTGACATCAGTCAGAGAAAACATTAGAAGACATGTGAGTACCGAACAGGCACTGGACCATTGGATCGGGTCCCAGTAGCTCAATGGGTAACCAGAAGGTCGTGGGTTCGAAACCTAGCGTTGGGTACATACTGCCCAGGAGTCCCAAACTAGGGAGAAACAGCTGTCCGGTACTCACATGTCTTCCACTGGTTCTCTAACTGATGTCAGCTCATGTTGAAATCCTCCAACCAATTTACTCTGGTTAATTACTTAAAAGCAAGTCACTTGTTGTTTGAATGTCTGTATTTTATACACTTCCTAAATTAAGTAAATATTATATTCTTGTAATAAACAGCACATCATATGGGGAAAATACGAAAACGTCACTAATATATATATATATATATATATATATATATACGTTTATCTTTATTTCAGCCAATACAATGAAACGAGTATGCAGTGACTGTCAAAATGTTTGTCCGCCACATTCTCATTGTGTCGACATTATGAATGGTATCAAATGCGTGTGTAATTTTGGATGGCAATATGTAGGGGGTTACAGCCGGTCAGAACACTGTCGCCGTAAGTTAATCACTAACGTTTTACATAGAATTATCACTTTAATGTGTAATATATCCATTTGAGAAAGTGTTATAGGAATGAACTCAAGGTTTACGCATATTAGAATGTCATCTATATTTTAATACTACATTAACTGGAAAAGTACCGACGGAACTCTATGTATATTGTCTCTTCTGAAATTCTTCTAGCTTTATTTTTTCAAGTCCACTATGCATTAATTAGTTGAGTTTTGAAGAAAAATTGAGTGTCGCAGATATGAAGCATTGACATATCATCTGAGCACTGACATGACTAGTATCAGCTAAATCACTTAAATCACGACTTTACAGTCCTGTGTATTTGACAATTCATCAAATGGAAATGATTCTATCGCATTCACTTTGATGCTTAAATATATATTTCTAGATGCTTCAATCTACAAAACATTATAGACTAGACTACGGAGCAGTGAAATCCAAGTCTTCATCACTAAGATGTAACTGTTTCTAAAGTTTTGTCGGTAAATGATAGGGAAGATAAGACTACTGGAATACTGATCTTATCAAAAATAATAGAAAGACAAATCACTTTGTCATGACTGATTGTGTCAATATACATAAAATCCTTTGTCATTTTTATTATTATTGTTCCCTTGGGTTCCTAGTGGAACATAGACCTTCAACTACACGTCTCCACTTGCTTCTGTCTTCCTTCTGCTGTACTTTTCACCTGCATCCATGTTAGTACATACTCTTTTAACTCCTCTTCACACGATCTCCTCCATGCCACCCTTGCACTGACGTCCCACTCGCCACTTCCCTTTCGGGTTCCACTCGAGGGCCTGAAGCGCGATGTCACCTAGCGGCCTCCTCAGTGAGCGAGTGTCCATTCCATTATCATCCACTTTATCCTTCATATTTGTTGGTTGGCGATTGGTTCTTGTTTTGTTTGTTTGTTTGTTCCCATAGTTTCTTGTTGGTGATTCTTTCCTTCCTGGCTAGGCCATCTCATCTTGAGTATAGAGCCAGCGAAGACAGTTGTTGGTTGATAAAGGTCTGCAACAGGCTGTTGGAAATATTCTTTGTGACGCGCCCGCCAAGTTTCTGATCCGTATAGAAGAACTGACTGACTTGAACTGTTTGCATTGAAAATCCGACTGAATTTTGTTGTTGATGCTGAATGGGAGCGGAAGATTTCCATATTGGTTTCAGGTTGATGAACGTGTTTCTCGCCTTTCCGATTCTTGCTCGATTTAACATCCTCGTCCGTTCCTCCTGTAGTTGAGACAATTCTCCCTAGATAAGTGAATGAAGTAACCTCTTTCAAATCCTTCCCGTTGATGCTGACTGGCACTGGATGTTGCTGTTATTGCTGGGTGGTTATTTTCATAACCTCCGTCTTATCTATGTTCACCTGGAGTCATGTCTTCGACGGCTGATTCTTCGACCAGTTTGTTGGTTTTTGCTTGTAAATCTTCGATTTTGTGTGACATCAAACATAAATCATCCACGCGCGAAATCCAGGTCTTCTAGTTCCTTTGTCATACGATTCACTAATTTTCTGTTATGAACTGGATGCGATAGCCTAACTTTCACAGTTAAATTGAAATAAAATTTACTTCAGAACAACAGTTGAATGAAAAATGTAAACCATTTTCAGCTAACAACATTTCGAAATTCCAGTAAAAACGCCAAACATCCAGGACGTTGTTACTTCACAAAGGTCGATGAATAGTTAATTTTTTGAGACCATAATCTAAAGATTGAACACATTCTCTTCAGCACTGAGTTTATTTTACATCTAACGCATCACAGAAAATAGTATCTGGGCCTAAAATGACATATGTCACAGTCAGTTATTATTTTAAGAAGTTACAAGAAGAACCACGAAAGTATATCACTAAAGGACATGTGTTGTTTCACATAATTGAAAGAATGATCATCAATCAAAAACAAGAGGAAATTACTATATCACAAATATATATATATATATATATATATATATATATACTTAAGGCTATCTGGTAAACAGAGAGAAAATTGTCTAATTGACTGACTGGTTGCAACACAGAACTTTAGACAGAAGTGCAGAAGTTGAATTCGCCACACTCCATGTAGAGCACAAGAGTAAACAAGAGAGAAAAACAGAGATTCCGAAGGACGAAAATAAGCAGAAACATGAGGAAGAAAGAATAGTAACACAGAGAAGCAATAGGGTTTTTTAAGATAGTGCAGATATAACAGAGAGTAAATGAATCTGCGCCACCACTGAGAATGATTTTGAGTCATATAACACATGGACTCCAGTCAATAGTTTTGGGCATCCCGAAGACCCCAACCAGACAACAGTCTGCAACGCCCCACTGAGCTTAAACGAACTGCTGTGCACTTCATTGACTGATGAAGCCACTAGCTAGCTCTTTTCCAACCTGATCTATCTCATGTCGCCCGTTGTCGATGAAGGTGATGCTAGACGTACGTAAAACATGACCTAGTCATCTCAGTCGATTCACCTTCACATCCTCGTCGATTGATCGCCCCTCCTTATCTAACACTCTACATCAAACCTCTATATTGCTCTGCCGATTATGTCACCTAACAGGGGAGACAGAACACAGGCACCTACGATCAAAGACAGCTAGCCAGGCTTTTCATGTCTTCCACTTTCAATGACCATGTCCCATAGTCATAAAGACGGACACAGCTAACTGCTGAGTAGTACACACGCCCTCTGGTCGTCGGCTGGCTATCATGTCTACGCCACCAATAGAGTAAGTTGAAGTATACCAAACAAGCCTTCCTTATCCGTGCTGAGATTTCGTCAGTGATCAACTAGCTAGCGTTAGCTGATGCAACTTCCCAAATAAGTGAAGTGGCCAACACACACTACCACTTCACTCCCTATCTTAAAGCTAGGAGTCAATTCAGTCCAGTCTTATAGCATCACCATACATTTGACAGGAGCGAATTGCATGCCAAACATTCAAAGATTGCTGCCTGTCAAGGTGTTCAGAAGACCCTGTATTTTGTCAGCATCTTCACTTAGAAGGAACATATCATCTGCATATTCTAATTCAACGAGATTATTCCCTGGTGGCAAGTCAGTCCCTGAGTCATTCTAACATAGTAATGTATTCAGTTGACGATACACGTTGAACATTATTGGGTGTCGTCAGAGAGCAGCTATAATGCTTTAAAGTTCTAATTTTTCAAAACTACAGATAATATAACTATTCATACTGATATGGTTATTTTTTAACTATAAGTGGAAAATGAGTTTTATTTTACAAACTCCTGTGACTAATTGTTGACTATGACATGAACTTAATTTTGATACTCATAATGTGTAAGGTGCTATAGAGGCATTCACTTTTGTGAGGTGTATGACGTAACTCTTACCCAGTCTGTCTGTCTGTTTTCGACATAGAACTTTGTACATATGTGCGGAAGTTCAAGTCGCCACACTCCCTCCTTGTATCACACAAAGCAAGAGAAGAAAGTACAAGAAATGCATAATAGAGACAGTAAGCAGAGGTGTGAGACAAAGGAATAGTAATAACGAAGAACAAGACAGTTTCATTGGAAATCATAAGTCAAAAGGAGTGGATGCATCTGCACTAGCCATTGAGAACGATTTTGAGCCATGTCACCAATTGTTTCCAACCATTGGTTTTTACCGTCCCGAGGGCCCCAACCCGGAAGTCTACACCTTCCTACGTGACTGGCTTAAACTAACTGTTGTAGATTTCATTGACTGGTTCGGCCATGTTTTGGTTTGACCGCCGCTAGCTCTTTTCCAGCCTGACCCTATATCCGCTAACATTGCCGATTGTCGGGGAAGGCGATGACTAGGCGTACATAACACATGTCCTAACCATCTCAGTCTTTGTAACTTCACAACTTCGTCGATTGATTTCCCCTGTTTACCTAGAACTCTACGCCTAACCTCAATGTTGCTCACCTTATTATGCCACTTTACACGGGAAATAGAGCGCAGGCACCTATGATCAAAGACAGCTAATCTTTTCATGTCTTCCACTCTCAATGGCCAAGTTTCACAGCCAACCATAAAGGAGGACGGAGCGGACTGATGAGCAGTACACCCGCCCTTTGGTCGATAGTCGGATATCATGTCTACACCAGAGACGGCGTAAACTGGCATATGCGAAACTAGCCCTCTGTATCCGTGCTGAGATTTGTCAGAGATCAACCCGTTGGCACTGGCTGGTACTTCCCAAATAAGTGAAGCGGTCAGCGTGCTCTACCACTTCACTCCCTATTTCTAATCTAGGAGTCGGTGTAGTCCAGTCCTGTAACATCATCTTGCATTTGGCGGGAGCGAATCACATGCCAAACATTTGTAGATTGCAGCTCAAGGTGTTCAGAAGACTGTGCATTTCGTCAGCGTCCTCGCCTAGAAGAACTATATTGTCCGCATATTCTAAGTCAACGAGATTATTCCCTGGTAGCAAGTCGATCCCTGAGTCGCGGAAGTGAGTTAGGGTCAAGTCGGGACTCTTACTGGGACAAAATACAAGACTTACAGAACTACTTTAATGAACAAAGACTAGATTAAGATTGTAGAGATGTAGTTTTACTCCAACAACCAAGGCTAATTGTGATATATAAACCTTTTTAAAAGAGCCATACAAAATATGTAGGCTGTTTACATTATTCTTAATATACATAGTTAAACAGAAGTACAAAAGTACAAAGGCATTTTCAGAGATGATGTCTTTTTAAAAATAAAGTCAAGTCAATGAACTTATCTAATATATTTATATTAACTTTAGACTGTCAGTAACACGTAGCTGTGATAAACAAAATTATATAAATAGTTGTCATGATATTCAACAACAAGATAGGCTAAATAGAGTTCTGTGTATGGCAGTGAAGAAGATAATTACCTTACATTATAAATTTTATTCACTTCCTCATGAATGTAACTAAAGCTTTATAGTTTTTGAAAAAAATCAATGAATTTTAACTTACAATTCTAATTGACAGTCATATAGTAACTACTATATACACATAAAAGGTGGTAAAAGCTGTTGATAGTCTGAAACCAAAGGCTAGTAAATGCTAATCGATTTCAATTGTTTCACTCGAAATGATAGGCGCAAGAAGACTGATGAAGAACATGATGAAGCACTGAATCTGCTTAAATGCAAACTGACTACGAGTTTCTTCAACAAAAGCCAGAAGCATGTATGGGCAGTAGGCAACACCTGATTACTCGATAAGGAAACAAGCTCTAAAAACCATTGCTAAGGGAAACAATATCCAAGAAATATGGCACTATAACTAATCCTCAGGATAGATAAGTGAGATATTGAAGAGAAAGCCTTAGGAGACAATTCAACTGGCCTACAGCCTTGGTGAATTCCCCTTGCATCTGACATCAGTCCTTCAATCGTAACCGGAACAGCAAAAGTTGTCTCTATTGTGAAATGAGACTAAGCTGTGGGACTTGATGGTATGTTTCTAGAGGTTTTTCAAGGTGATGTGATGAACTATTGACTGAATTAATTCAGATATTAAGTAGTGTGTATCAATCCGGGAATGTCCAGCCAGAATGGTGCCAATATATTAATAACCCGTATTAATCACAGAGAGATCAAGGTGAATAACGTAATATCCTGCATAAATTAAGGAAGAAGAAACCAGAGAAAACATATCAGGCTTTAGACCAGGAAGAGTATGTATTGGCTATATCTTTATCGTTAGACAGATGTTGGAACACAGGCATATTTACCAGTGTCAAATACCCACCTTATTCAGTAATCCCAGGGAGGAATTCGATTCCGTTGATAGAAAGGTATTTTGACAATATCTGGCGTAAAAAAGCAGTACTAACAAAGTATGGTGCACTAATCGAGGCAGTCTGCTTAAACTGATGAACTCAGATAACACTTTATGATGACAACCAGTTCTGTTTGTCATTGACTATCAGTATCACCATTTTTATTCCATTTGATATACGGTGTATTAACACACGGGGCTCTAATCGACTTTAGCGCCTTACGGACTGACTTGTTACCAGGGAGAAGTTGCGTATGTAGATGACAGTGTCCCCATGGATGAAGAAACCAATAAAATACACAGTCTTCTGAACACATTGATCAGAAATCTTAGTATGTTTGGCATGAGATCCTACCTTATCAAATGTAAGATGGTGCTGTGGGACTGCTGTCCTGCACCGACCTGTAGTTAAAAGATAAGTAGTGGGGTGACTAAGCGTGTTTGCCAACTCATTTATTGGGAATTTGCGTCAGACATAATGAACACATCGCTAACGAAATCTCAGCACGGATACAAGTGGTCTGTGTATTATTTCCCAGGTTACGTCATCTCGCGTGTAGCCATGATCGATCAAGAAACTTGTATACTGAGGAACAGTCATTAACCGTGAGTGTTTGCTTTCTATCTTAGATGTCAACTGGTATCATATTGTGAGTAATAGTGAAGTTAGGTATATGGGGAAAATCAATCGAAGCTGCATCGATTAACATGGCTAGGACATGTTTTATGCGTGACAAACCATCAGCTTCTTCATCAACGATGTCAGCTGATACAGAATTTGATTGGAGTAGACCAAAACATTACGTCACTCGATAAATTCTTTGAATGAAGGGTTTGAGCTACGTAGGGATATGCAGACTGCTCAAATGGTATCCTCAAAGCACTACGAATCATGACTGAGAGTCCTTCTCAATTGCACAGGTGTATTCAACTTTTGTAATTTCTGAGACCCATCAAATTCGCACTATCCTCCATGTAGTTGTTCAATTCCGCTTTTTTTGTTGTTTGATTAAATTTCGCTTTTGTACCTTTATATGAGCTTTCATGAGCTGTGGTAACTTGAACTGTGGTGCACATATACACTAGGTTCTATTCTGAGAGGGTACATTACTGAACGTTGTAATTCAGTATGTAAGTATTAAATGTAAGAAGTCTACAGGTGTTGTTGTTGTTCTTGCTTCTGTTTTCTTGATTCATTAATTTTCCTTACATGTAATAATTTTTTTTTTTAACATTTCCCTGTTCTTTTTTTTGTAGTACATCCCACCGTTTTGTCTCTTTTGATCATCGGATCAATATTACTTATCGCATTCGCTGTTTTAACAACATACTTAATGTTTAGAGTTAAACATAGATTCGTTATAACAACTAATCTAAAGAGAATCTCTTTTGATGATTATGGTGATGGTGAGGCAAACCTACACATACACAGATATAATAAGAATTATAATCGTAATTCGTGATAATACGAAACATGAAAAAAAAAGAAAGCCCTTAAATAATAAATAAAATTCCCTTCTGCATATAGTTTACCAAGAGATTTTTTTATATTTTTTGTATGTACGTAGTATACTACATAGTTATTGCTTATATATATATATGAGAAAACAGAACAAAAGAAAATATTCCACTGCTGAAATGTATTATACACTCATATTTTATTGTAAAATGTTAATGTACCAACTCGAATGAGTATTTGATTAAAACTGATGAAGACATTATTCTTCTCCTCAGTTACATAATCCACTATCATATTTCAAAATAAAAAAAAGAGAGGAAAACGACAACAAATACAACTTTAAAAAAGAAAAAATGTAATTCCACTATTGTCTTTTTTTCAGTAAACTTAATCACATTGGTAGAGAGATACAGTCTCTGTCTGTCTGCCTGTCTGTTTGGATTCAACATAGAACTTGGCACCGAAGTGCAGCACTTCGAGTTGCCACGTTCCAAATAGCACACAAAGGTAGACAAGAAGATGAGTGAAGAGAATCAATAGAGTTTGACAGGTATAAGAGCGAAACAGAATGGGTAATGGTAGAAAGGAATATGAACGATTACAGAGACTGAATACATCTGCGCTGGCCACTGACAACGATTTTGAGCCATGTCACCTATTGTCTCCAGCCATTGATTCCTAGAGTCCCGAGGGCCCCAACCCGAGAGTCTGCATCTCCCCATCTGACTGACTCAGTTTAACTGTCAAGGATTTGATGGATTGATGAGGCCATGTTTTTGTTTGGCCACCACTGGCTCTTTTCCAACCTGCACCTATATCAGCTAGTAATGCCCGTCGTCTGGGGAGGCGGTGGTTAGGCATGCGCACCACGTGACCTAGCCATCTCAATCTATGTAACTTTATAGCCTCGTCGATTGATTTTCCCTCTTTGCCCAACACTCTACGCCTAACGTCAACATTACTTACCTTATTAAACCACCTAATGTGAGAAAGAGATCGCAGACATCTATGATCGAAAGCAGTCAACCTTTTTTTCATGTCTTCAACACGTATTGGCCATGTTTCAGAGCCATAGAGAAGGACGGAGCGAACTCGTGAGCAGTACACACGTCTCTTGATTCAGAGAGATACAGTAGACATGTCAGTTCAAAAGTTCTACTCAAAAGGAAAGATAAGACGGGATTGCATCGTTTGGTCACTAAACTGTACCTAGTTGTAACGACAGAAGGCAAGACATGGAAGACAAGTTATGTTTTCAAATGATCAAACCGCCGATTATATCTATACAGTGTATATTTGCTAACCAATCACTGAGCGTGTGATTTTGGTTTACATTAAATGACATGGAATATAATGTTCAAATAGATATATCGTTTTCTGTTGCTAATGCTGTATTGAACTGTGGGAATATCAATTTTTGTAATATGTTCACCAGGCTAGGTGACCCACTGTCATGATTTACTCGGATTTGATGCTAGATAGTTGAAGGGAATCGACGAGAAGCCTTGAATTTAGACGTTTTATTCACTGGCATTCGTCAGCAAGGCATGTCTGCGATCTTGAATAAATTGAAGCCATCTTGGAAACCTCAACTTGCATCACCCAATTCTGCAGACAGAATTGTTACTATTCAACCCAAATAACCAGTAAGTACGAAACTTAGCCTAATGTCCTCTTATTGATTGTCTTTAACACAAGAAGGAATTAAGAGCAAAAGTTCCAAAGTAAACTTCATCATAAACTACAATCAACTAGTAAACTACTAAAAAACCGAACACCCATAGACAGCTGTCTCATAGTCATTGAAGTATTTTCAACAATGAATATCGGCAGTTTAGAATCACCAGGTTACATTACCATTCAGCTATTCAGTCAGTATCTAATATAACACGGTTCCTAACTTCTTGATAGAGTTCAAGTGAGCCCAGAGTTACTGACAACTAACTATCCTAATAACCGAAATGGTCGACCTCGTCGGTTACGACTTTTCATTAGAAATAATGTAAAGTTATTTAACTGGCAAGTCATTGTTGAGCATTCTATTGATATCCAGGTGTTAATTCAATCGGAGATTTGTAGGCACGCTGAAAACAAAGAAATCCTAGTTAATGAATGGTAAAAATAAATACATAAAAGAATACAAGTTAACAAAATGTGTTAGTTAATCTGCAAAGCCAATAAACTACAAGACTACTTAAGTTAATAATACCATTTTTTTAATAATAATAATAATTTGCTTTATTCCAAAACAGTACTTGCGAATACAGAATGGAATTCTCAGCACTTTACTACAGTATCGCATCCAGTTAGTACATTATCAATAAAGAAAATTCTACATAGATTAAGGAAATCTCAGTTCATTATGACAACAACTTATTGGTATGTCGGTAGCAAAGCCAAAATTAAACAGAGTGTTTGAAGGTGTTAGAAAAATAGATGCTAGTATATTTACTGGCGTAAGCGGAAGAAAGAAACAAAGCTGCACATAACAGAAAAAAGGGAGAGAGAGAAAAGGAAAAAGAAAGAAAGAAAACGTTGTACCTATAAATGATATGTTCCTTGGTGGCCTGTTGACACCTGGGCTACCTTTCCGTACATATGAGATGGAAAGACGAGATCCAGTTGTTCTACTGAGTATTTAATGGGTCAGTAGAACATCTAGCCTCTTTAAATATTATGACTTCAACACACTTCCTAAAGGCTAAAAATCGAATACTGAGGATTTAAGAAAGGAAAATTAAAAATTAATCAATATTGCTTATGGAGTAGTAGCTTCTGAGATCTATTAACTCAGGATGAAGATATACGCTATCGCAAATCAAACTTGCTGCGTTTTCATTTCAGTATATTTGTAAAGGTAGAACGACTGCGTTCAGGTACGGTTCGAATTTCTTCTAGGTAGTTGTTTTTATATTACAGGCCTATGGGAATTCTATAATCAAAGCAGATGTTAAGTTTGGTTATTTTAATGGTGTTCTATCAAATTTTTTAAGTAGCTAGAAAATCTGTTGTGACGTTTGCCATACTATGCGAAAAAAACGTATCACCTTAGCCTTTATCCTCACTCTAAGCTTATCATTAGACTGATAGATCATTTCCCTTTGTAACAACATAAGTCAAGGCCCAGGCAACAGATCGTTTATTAAGGAAATCAACATGTATTTATAGATTTTCATGTACATATTGTAGATTATTCTTAGCAGAAAAACACAGTCTTCTGATTGGTTGTTTCTCACAGAAAGTTAACATTGCATCTCTTTGTGGCTGTTTCTTGAATGTCAGATCATCTATATGCTAACTGTATCCACGTACGCAAAGCCTTTGTTCTCATTTTTCTCACGACCAATATTGGGGACATAAACACATGGACGAAAATTACTGTCCAACAATTTTGTCTAACAGCCAGTTCTCACCACACCTTAACTTCACACTACTAGCAAAGCTTAGATGTGAGGAGTACTGGCTACTGTTTAGAGGAAGTGTCTGAGCTCCACCACAGACCATCTGGACTATCCAGTCCTAAAAGAACTGTCCCATGTTTACTTGAAATAGGAAATATGAGCAGTCATTCCAAGTCAAAATGAAAATCGTAGACATTTAGAAACTCGTAATATATTGTCATGATTAATGCAGCTTTTCTCAAAGTTGGTAAAACGTAGAATCATAACGAACAATTTTTAGTGCAACAAAAGCTGAAGTAAACCGAAAACAAGAAAGATAAAATAAAAACCCTCAAGAAGGACATCAAGCCAAATGAGGAAATTTGTCATCATATGAGGTCAAAACAAGTAGGACCAAAATATGGAATGGACTTGACATAACTTGTAAATGCGCCCTGTCCTAACTGCCATTTTCTGCTGCATATTATGTATTTTTGGGGCCAAAAATGAGCAAGAAATTCGGCTAAGCAAGAAGTAAAGATTTGTGTAGAATGCATTACGTTTCATATAAATTCTTCTAATTCACTAACAAGATTAATCAAGACATTTAAGGATTCACATATCTAACTTCAATCATTACATTTATGCATAGATAGAAGGAATATTCTTGCTTTATAAATGGAGTGGTTACTAAATCAGCCGAAATCCTACTATAATTAGCAACCTAGGAATTCTAGTACGTTATGTAAACTACTCATTCATCATAACCAGAGTATGTGGTCGATAAAAACACTCACTATTGATCAATAAGTTGTATTTTCCACAGCACAGACTATACAACATAATGAATTGGATAATAAAATTCTATTTTTAGATATCTTGTTTGACAAAAACAAGCATAAGAAAGGTGTAAGCAGAAACCATGCAAAAAGATCAGATCACATGGAGTAAACTCTCAACTGCGAAATCCCAACAGCAGGGAGAACGATTTGTGCCTAGATGTTATTCAGACCACATGAAACAGACTTTAGTACATCTAGCTTCAATAGAAAGAAGGACTAACACTGATGATAACTCGAGCACAGCTTACCACCCTTGTGGATACATTGATATGATTATGAGCAATGCACTGTACTCGAAACATCATCAGTAAACAGTACTGTATATTTATGTTTTTTTTATCAAATCAAAAACCATCCATCCTCTACTACAGTGCCCAAATTCTATTCTAAAACCGTAATAACTGGCTGCATTTATAATTATAAATGGTCCTTGGAAAATACAGTTTCGATTGTCATAGAATATCAGTAGAACACTTCTGAAAATCTTGTGAAACTGATTTCATCCACAGCCAACACAGTCAGTAGACTTTACGCTTTACACATCCAAAGACGTAATAGCAAAGTAGAAGGAAGCTAACATTGTTTATCTGCGCTGTGGTGAAAGTAAGAACTCTTTTCATTCTTACATGTATGAATATAAAATGGCAGTCGAACAACACAATGAATTCGTTATAATAATTTACTTCAGTATTACCAGAAACAAACTCAATTCAAGAAATCCATGAATCTTAGAATCTAATAATGTTGAAGAATGTTTAGCGGTGTAACACTTAAGGAGATATACAAAATCAACAAAATTTTTACTATAAGCTCGAATTACCAACTTATCAAGCATAATATCATACAGTCGAAGGATAGATATCAGCCTAACAAAGCAATCCACAGGAAAACATCAATTACATTGCATTAGCATATTTCTGACAGTAGTTAGTCAGTGCTCAGGTCAGTAGATAAGGTGGATGGTCTAATGATGGAAAAATTGTGAAAGATTACTTCTCTGAAGTGACCTTGAACGCATGCTAGTCGTTGGCTAGCGGTATCTGTCACTATCATAGCTGAAATATCAATGCTATTCACCAACTTAGGAGAGAATTTCACCCAGATCACGTTTTTAAGTACTGTTTGGACAATGTGTTAAT